GACGCCATTTGTTCTCCACTTTGTTCAACATTACTTCTTTCTATAGACACATATGACCAAAAGGGGAATGGACAATAAGAAAGAAACCAACAAAAACAACTTTGTTACCAGTCTAACTTGTCTTACTTGGTTGGTTGGTTGTTTTTTTAATAAATGCGTGGGTGTACATGAAGTATGGTAATCAATTTTTCAAATGAGAAAATATTTACTAGGTTATTATTATCATTATATTTTGACTTCCTTCGTTTACATAAACTTCTTTTCACGGAATATACACATTTGGTCATAGGGAATAAAAAGACAGTTGCAGCGAAGAAAATTTTCTTTTCGACGAAGTCATCATCTAGGCTGTACATTCGTGTATTTATATCAAATGGATGGGAAAGTTCCAGGTTCATAGACAAGAATCTCAAACCTAAGAAGACTTCTGAACAAGTCCAATCCGTCCCAAAGAAAATACTCCTGCTTAATCTAGAATTCAAAGGTGATATCGAAGCAGAAATCCTTCGAAAACGTCTCTCCAAGTCGCTGAGGAAAACATACTTCGCCGCAAGCCTACGACTGACATTTTCCTGCAAGAAACTGTTCAGCCAGAACGCGAAAGACAAGCTGTCGCATTGGGCCACCTCAACATGCATATACCAGTTCACTTGCTCTTGTGGAGTTGAGTACATCGGCCGTACCATGCGCCAACTTGGAAAACGCGCTCGTGAACACTACCCAGCCTGGCTGGTAAAAGGAGAGCAAAAACGTGTATACAGTTCAGTGACAGAACATCTGGTCAACTCAGGACATTCAGCGCCTTTCGAAAAGTCCTTCAAAGTAATATACGAGATTCAGTCAAACCTCTCAAAGGGAGTGAAGTCAAGACATTTGGGCATAGCTGAGGCGTTAGCCATCCAAAAACTCAAACCCACCCTTTGTATCCAAAAGAAATACATCCAACCCCTGTCCCTGCCATGGCCATCGTAAACAGGTAAATTTTTTAATAATGACCATCCCATCGCCTTTCTTATCTAAACTTCCTGTTTATTCATGTTATTTTAAGTTTTCTTAATCCCTGTCTACCCTACCATATTTTCATATCCACACTTCCTGTTTATTTTGTCATTTTATTATTTCTACATATTGAATCCCTGATTGCATAAACAATTATTCATCACACTAGTTTCTTATCCAAACATCCTGTATATTTTGTTATTTTTACATTTCTAAGCCCAGTTGCACAATGTCAATCTTCTTAGTAATTAGGATGCTACTTTGTTTGAGTTTTATCCATCCCCCTGTTTATTATGGCATTCTAATTCCTAATTGTAATTTTTATTAATTTAACCCCTAACTAGAAATTGTTCTGGAACTTTCCCATCCATTTGATATAAATACACGAATGTACAGCCTAGATGATGACTTCGTCGAAAAGAAAATTTTCTTCGCTGCAACTGTCTTTTTAAACTTCTTTTCATCGTAATCAGTTGACTATTCTTCCTGTTCTATCTCTAGTGATGGAAAGGGAAATTTCATACTGAATGTTTTTGATGCATTTCAACTGAAAGGTGGCTTTTATGGCTTGACTGATTTGGTTTAAAATCACCGAAAATACGCATTGATTGAGTTATGAAGCAAAAATAAAAGAGAAATTCAGTGAAGAAAATGCTTCTTTATCGACGAAATCATCTTCAGAGAGGCTGTACTGTACAGTCAGCCGTATTTATATTCACCAAAAATGTATAGTTAGTTGTCCATTAGTGATTAATAGGGCTTCATCAACTCCGGTGTTGTCTCTGGTTCCATTTTCAAGGCTTCTGCTGGGATTTCATCTGGTCCTGCTGCTTTTCCAGCTTTCAGCATCTTGATTGCCTTCAGGACTTCTGATTTCGTCGGGGGGTTGGTGTTAACATTGCTTGAAAGGTGTCACTTATTTTCCTAGGCAAAGAGTTTCGAGAACTCCTTAGGTGAATAAACAGAGTCTTTTTAATTCTCCTTCTTATCAAAAAACAAAATTCATTCATCGTTGTTGAATTCTAGGCGACATGATTGATTTGGCAACAGAAAGGTTATTTTATTCTGATTTAAAACTCTACAGTCGTTTGTTTGTGTGTGTGTGTAAACTGGGTTCATATAACAGAGAAATCGTTGGATCAGCTCCTGGGCCAAGTGTATTCGGACGAAAGTTCTATATTTAAAACTAGCAATAAAGGTTAATAAAGCAGGATTTAATGAATTTATCAAATTTCGACAGGACAGTACATGCATTTCAAGAGCTTTGTTCCAATCCAGTATAACAAGAAATCAGTCAGAACACTGTTCAATAGAGCACGGAAAATTTGTTCTGACAGTACTGCTGAGCATGAAACAAAAGCTCTGATGGATATTTTCTCTCAGAATGGATATCCTGAGAAGTTCATTAATAAATACTATAAAGCAAATGGCCCATTCTAAACTATCCAAACAGTTCTGAAGAAATCTGTCTAGATCAGTTTGCCGTTCAAAGGAGATGATGTACAGGAAGTAGTCAAACGAAGACTCGATAAAGCTATCAAGAGATCTTATTATGCTACAAAACTTGTTTTCCTTAACATCACCAAGTGTGTACTTCAACAATCTGGGAAAGGTCAGTCGCCAATCCTCGACACTTCAAACTGCGTATCTCAATTTGATTCGTGTGTTTGTGGAAGCAAATACGCATAGGTCGTAAAGAACGGCGATTGTCTACTCATAGCATGATGCAGAATTTACCAAAATGATTGAAAACAGCTGAGTGCAAAGTGTCAAAAACCTCAATAACAAAATATCTTGTGGACTATGGACATGATATCGACGCACTGTCAAGTTATTCTCATTGTTGTCAGCGAGCATACAAATAAACAGGAAGATGCTTGCAGTTGCAGAGGAGGCTTGTGCAATTCGAGTTTATAAACCAGGTCTCTGTGTACAAAAGGAGATGGTCGTCACTCTGAATCTACCACGGTAATACATACGCTTTACATATTGTTCTACCTCTTATTATTACCATTATTCTTGATTCATTTAAACTATCTTTTATCAGTAGGATTATCTTAACTCACTTCAACATTATTATTATTTTTATTATTATTATTATGATAACCATTACTATTCATATTACTCTGTTTGCAATTCTTGTTAAGTTCTCTAATGTCTAGTTGTCTATCTAAGTGATGTAATTGAGGCCTGATGCAATTGATCTTAATTTCTATCACTTATACTCCCTCTCTCCTTATCTATTTGAACATGACCTCAAGAAAACATTCTCACCTGTTTTTCTGCACGACTAATTCAATGTAGTTTATTTGCTTATCAGTCTTATATCTCCCAATGTAATTTCGATCGTGTGTATATATCCGTGTATGTAGAGTATTCAGCTGAAGAGGAGATCTACCGAAATTTGATGAATTCATTAAATCATCCTGCTCTATTAACCTGTGTCATTATTCTTATTATTGTTCCCTTGGGTTCCTAGTGGAACATAGGGCTTCAGCTACACGTCTCAACTTGCTTCTGTCTTCTGCTGTGCTTTTCACCTGCATCCATGTTAGTCCAAACTGTTTCAACTCCTCTTCACACAATTTCCTCCATGTCACCTTTGGATGTCCCACTCGCCACTTCCCTTTTGGGTTCCACTCGAGCTATGTCCTGACGCGCGATGTCACCCAACGGCCTCCTCAGCCAGTGAGTGTCCAATCCATCTCCACTTTCTCCTGCATATTTGTTGTTTGGCGATTGGTTCTTGTTTTGTTTGTTCCCATAGTTTGTTTCTTGTTGGTGATTCTTTCCGGCCATCTGATCTTCAGTATAGAGCCAGCGAAGACAGTTAGTTGTTGATGAAGGTCTGCAACAGGCTGTTGAAAATATTCTTTGTGACCCGTCGCCAAGTTTCTGATCCCTACAGAAGAACTGACTTTTCTAGCGGGTGCCAAGGCCGGATAAAGAAGGAGTGTTGAGGCGTGTTTCTAGCAACTCCACCCCCAAAACTTAACCAAATCGCTACAGAAACTTCAACGCACATATATATATTAACCTGTGTTGTTTGTTTTAAATTCGTATCGGGAAATCAAATATTTTCAATTCTTGAAGAAAGCTCTATGTATAATGGGAAAAAAAGAAATTCCAAAGAAAAATCACAGGACAGCATATATATATATATGTATGAAAAATGGGATTTATCTTTTTTTCACGGACAATCGACACACAAGTTAACAGACAATCAACTACAAAACAAACAAAAACAACGACATATAATAATAATAATAATGAAATCAAAGAAATTCAAAATAGTCTCTTTTCATCTGTCTACATATATATGATGAGTTTTTTCTGGCCTTTTTTCAGCTTTCGTGTGTGTAATGAATTATCGAGGAAAGTTGATTAGTGTTCACAGTTGATATGATGACTGACTGACTGACTGACAATGACAATAATAATAATATTAATACGATCAAAAGTAACAATTCTCCTGGAAAGACAAATGCGATATAATATATGAAAGAAATTTATCTGTGAGTGTACTTACACATTACCACACACACACACACACAAATGGACGCATCATTAGTTCAATGAGATTATGTAATTAATCAATATAAGATGAAATACTCTTAAATAATATGAAAGGCAATCAATAAATTGTATGTAACAGATGTGTATGAATATATTTCATCTCGATTAAAAAAAAAAATTATATTATGTAAGACATTCTTGAAAAACAGGTGAATCACGGAAACGCCCATATTTATCACTTTATTTCTGATTATCATTATTATTATTATTATTGTTATTATTTTTACAACAATTAAGATGGCTGACATACTTTTTTTGTTTTTCTCTCAATGAATCACTTAATGAAAAATACGAAACAACTTGATCACAGATCTTTATATAACTGAACAACATCGATATATATAAGATTGAAGAACAGAAGACAACAGAATGATGAAGAAGACCAGGAAGGAGATCATTGCCTTAGACCAATGGAATTAGATGAATGCTGATTGATTGATTGATTAGTCTGTTGTTGTTGTTGTTGAATCACAAAAAGCTATGGGGGTATTTAAGCATTAAATTGTTTTGTTTCATGTTGTTTCTTCACTATGCCTAATTTTGGAGCGATACTGACTGTTGACTCTGATAGATGTGCATACGGTGGTTCTTGTGTACCATGAACAACAAGAATCCATTCAGTTAATAAAACATAACCTAATGGATCTTTAGAATTTGGATCAATTGCTATAATAAGTGACCAATTCCCCCGGGGATTTTCACTCCACATATGTGTTGTCATAAATGGCCATTTAGTAAAACCTCGTGTATTATCAGTATCTTTAGGTCGTCTTCTTAATAGCATTGATGTTGTATTCATTGGTGAGGTTAAAAATATGGTGACATCACCGCGTCGTGTTGCTCTAATTGTCAGAAATGCTTGAACGTGTTCTAGATAATTCACCTATAAAAATAGATGAATACAATATAATACAATACAATAAGTAGAACGAGTGAAGTCTCAAGTAATTTATGCAGTTAAATAAATGTTTCATGTCACACAAAATCGAAGACTTACAAGCGAAAACCGACAAACTGGTCAAAGAGGCTGGCAGCAAAGACAGGACTCCACGTGAACATAGACAAGACGGAGGTTATGAATATAACCAACCAACAACAACAGCAGCAACATCCAGCGCCAATCACCATCAACGGGAGGGATTTGAAAGAGGTTACTTCATTCACTTATCTAGGAAGCATTGTCTCAACTACAGGAGGAACGGACGAGGATGTCAAATCAAGCGAGAATCGGGAAGGCGAGAAACACATTCATCAACCTGAAACCAATCTGGAAATCTTCCACTGTCACTCAGCCTGCGTCAACAACAAAATTCGGATTTTCAATACAAACGTCAAGTCAGTCAGTTCTTCTATACCGATCAGAAACTTGGCCAGTGTGTCACAAAGAATATTCCCAACAGCCTGTTGCAGACCTTTATCAACAACTAACTGTCTTCGCTCTATACTGAAGATGATCGGATGGCCGGAAAGAATCACCAACAAGAAACAAACTACGGGAACAAACAAAACAAGAAGCAATCGGCCAACAAATATGCAGGAGAAAGTGGAGATGGATTGGACACTCTCTGAGGAGGCCGTTGGGTGACATCGCGCGTCAGGCCAGTGCTCGAGTGGAACCCGAAAGGGAAGCGGCGAGTGGGACGTCCCAGGGTGACATGGAGGAGACCCTGTGAAGAGGAGTTGAAACAGTATGGACTTACATGGATGCAAGTGAAAAGTATGGCAGAAGACAGAAACAAGTAGAGATGTCTAGTTGAAGCCCTATGTTCCACTAGGAACCTAAGGGAACAATAATAATAATAATGAAATAATTTACACATTGTAAGGTGGCCCAAAGCGGCATTTTATCCTTCACACATCCATTGATCATTTGTCGGTTGCAGAGACTGATACGTAGCTCAACCATAATGAAGAATTTCCTCAGTAATCTGCATAAGCGATTTTTCAAGATCTCAGCTGCAGTATCACCTTTAAATTCAACGCCCATAAATAACAGTTTTTTTCGGCACCATCTTGGTTCTTTCAGGCTTTTCCCTTAACTCCATCTTTTTCTCGATAAATCTTGAGTCGCCCCAGTTCCCTATCAATTGTATCACTGGAACATATCCCTCTTATTTTTGAGGATAAGGAGTGGATCAAGTTTCTCTTTCTTCTCAAAGAGACCCAAATACAAAAATTAGTGTACTGAACATTCCATGTTGGTTTCCTGTAGATCGATCTTTGAAGAGAACCATAAGATCTCCTTTTTAGAAAAACATCCGAAAAATGGAATACCGAGTTCATCTCTGATTCTGACATGAATTCGATGGAATGATGGCAGATGTTGAACTTTTCAGTTATCAGTCCGATGTCGATATTGTCGTCACATATGATGAAAGTGTCATCCATGTATCTTTGGCACAAATAGAAACTATCGATAGTAGGCCGTAACATACTATTCTCCAAACTTGTCTGCAAGTAGAGTACCCAATGGTGACCCTATTGCCACTCCATTTTACACAATCTTTTGATGTGTTAACAAAAAGAATGAGCACAAGTAAAGGATAGAGGTCACATTCGAATGACCTTGGGTCAACCAATCAGGTCGCTCAGCATTTCAAACGGATGCCTTTCACGTAATCTTCTTTGCAGTTTTTCATCCCAACTCTAATCTTCGTTGCAAGATTCACCCAAGAGCTTTAATCACAACCTAACCTTCATCCTACCCTGACCTTAACCCTGAATCAGGGTGAAAATCTGCAGCGAAAATTATGAAAAGCATCATTTTTCTAATACTGAGCGATCTGATTGGTTGTTTCAGGGTCATTTGGCTTTCGTGTCTAATCTTTACTCTCACCGAAGAATGTATTGCGGAAATCAAACGGGGACCATTATGCACACTCACTAACTAAATGCTCTTCATCTTAATGAAAGGTGACAGTATTCCTATTGGGAATAGGACTCAAAGCAAACAATGTATGTCGGACTACTGAACTAAAATTATCGATCGAAACTATGATCTGCATGCAAATTCTTTGTGAACAGGACAGCATACTCATCATGGCATCAAAAATAGGACTTCAGGTGAACATAGAGAAAACAGAGACGATGAAGATTTCTGGGAAACACCACCACCAGCAGCAGCAACAACAACAGACAACAATCAGCCATCATGAATGGAAGGAACCTGAAAGAAACAACCTCCGTCACATACCTAACTGGGAAGCATCGTTTCAACTACAGCTGGACGGAACTGACGAGGATATCAAAGCAAGAATCGGAAAAGCAAGACAAGCTTTCATTACTCTCAAGTCTGTGTTGAGGTCAACAGCACTCACCATCAAAAATAACATCCGGATTTCGAACTCCAATGTGAAGTCAGTCAGTGCTACTCACCATACGGATCAGAGACTTGGCCAGTGCGTCATGAAGAGCATCTCAAACAAACTACAGACCATCATTAACACTTGTCTTCGCTAAATACTTCGCTCAAGATCATATGGCCAACCGGCCAGAAAAGATCAGCAACAGACATCTCTGGCAATGAGCGAACCAACACAGCAGAAACCGATTGTGAAACAAATAGGCAGGAAGAAATGGAGATGGATTGGCTGGCCATACTCTGAGAAAAGAATACATCAAGTGGCATCACTAGACAAGCCATTGCTCGAATGGAACCCGAAAGGGAAGCGGTGAGTTGGTCGTCAGTGCAAGGGTGAAGGTGACTTGGAGGAGGTGATGTGAAGAGGAGATGAAAGCGTGTGGGCAGACTTGAAGCCAGGTGAAGACTCTAGCAGAGAACCGAAGGCAATGGAGACGCACGTCTGAAGCCCTATGTTCCTCTAGGAATTAAAGGAAACAATAATAACAATAATAAAACAGTACAGTTGCGGGAAAGTGTTCTCAACCTTTAAAAAATCGCTGCTCAATGAAAAATGAAGTAATCAAGGTTATTTAAGAACCAAGCCACAACCACATTCGAACCAAATTCAACAGACGAGCAGTTTCCGCATAGTATATTGCCACCATCTTATTTTTCCTTTTGGAGGTTCGGCTCCACCATACTGCTTACCATGTGATTTTTTATCTCCCATCTGAATAGAAAAAGCTACGTGGATACCACCGAGACAAATGACCATAAGAAATACACACATTAATTATTCTAAAACTGAGTTAATTTGAAACTCTAACGACTGAAATTGAAGATCAAGCGCTTGTCAAATATCATAACCAGATTCGAAATGTGTAAAGTAAAGTGATGAGGTTGTGGTGAGAGATGGTTGCTAGCCAAATTGGTTGACAGTAATTGAGGTCAAAGGTCAAGATTGACAGGCGGATACAGTTAACATATAGATGAACTGACACAGCCACAAGAGATGCAAGGTCAACTTTGTGTGAGAAACAACCAATCAACAGACTGTATCTTCTACTAAGATTAACCTATAATAATGTACATTAAAATCTATAAATATGTGTTGATTTTCCGTAATAAACGTTCTGTTGCCTGGCCCTTGTCTTCTGTTGTTACAAGGTCAGTTCCACATTATGAAGACAACACTGTAAAATGACACACACACGCACCCCAGTAAAAGAAATGATAATAATTCCATTTTATGGAATTTAACCCACAAAATGATCTCAAAAGTTAGACAGAAAACTCCTACATTTTCCCGTAGTATTGTATGAGCCTTCTTAATAGCCTACGAATTCTCATGAATGTGTCATTTATTTGTTATTTTAATATTTGTCTTTTGACATTTTATTACAGTTTGATTCCACACCGTACAAGTATAGAATTTTCAGCATGTGATATCGGTAGCCCAAATTTAGCAGACCGACCATTGATATCAAGTGTGGGTCGGCAGGGGATCGAACCCCAAACAATGCCCATGATCGGCAAACGTCCTAACCTCTGTGCCACAGACACACAGTGATTGACTTTCTCCAATTACTTGCTGAACTTTACATCAATTTCCATATTTGCCTATTTATGTTTCTTTCTTTCATAATTTAGAAGTAAAATACAATTTCTCAAACATATTCACACCTCAGGATGTAAGCACTGAAGCTGAGATGACTTCTCCGAGAAGACTTTCTTTGAAACAAAAACTTGCAATGACATTTTAGACATCATTATTTAAACCGGAAATACATGATGTGGTATGTGCTACTGGTTAGATTTATCAGTAGTATAACATCAAATAGTAGGAAGATAGATTTGATTTCAGAGAAGGCAAATGATACAGTGTTGTGGAGATACAAAGGAGACGTGAAAGGAACACAAAGAAACACAATGAGAAAGGCAGAAGTAGCACAACACGAAGATCTGTGCAAATGGTGCGTTGAAGATAAGAGGTATAAATAAATTGGCTATAAAGAGATACTAATTTACAAATAAGCCTTCCTTTCCTTGAATTAATCCTCTTGAATATATGTGTATTAAGATCATTGAATAATGCGCCTTCAATTAAAAATCATAAATCTGAGTACCACTGTTTGTCATTGATAGATTAAATATGTACCATCGGTGACAAGTTCAATGGTTACTGCTCGTTTTGACTAATGATGTATCGTTGGATTTCCGAACATCATCCTGCATAGTTGTTGGTTAATTAAAGGACAAACAAAATCCAATCACATAGCTCTATTCTATCTCATCTTCTGGATATACAATACAAGATTGATGTTAGCGATGTGTCTTTCAAAGTCATTTACCGCATACCAACAAATCTTAACTTCGCCTTAAGAGTTCGATTAATAAATACTGCTGAGGCTGGCTGTTTGGATCCACATTTAGAAGCCTAATTTGTGCATACAAAAGAAGCTGGTTCAGACATTATCCTTACCTTGGCCATCTAAGTTTGAATGATCCTCAATTTGTGTGGAAATTTACCTTATTTTAGT